GAGATGTATCCGTCCTCACCTGGTGAGATTGCTCAACGAATCTCTTCTTCATTTACTTTGATATGAAATGAAAGTCCCCCTAACAACTTATTTACACCTTGATTTACCAATGAAGTATTAGTAAATTTAATTTCTCACCCTACCCTCTATGCCATGTAAGGACTCGTCACCATTTCTCTAAGGCAGTCAATGACTGCTAATCACTAAAATTAATTTCCCTATATAATTGGCTATATAAGGAAGACTTAAAGAAATATTCTGTGGTTTCTAGTAGACGATGAGTATGACTAACTTTGACTCATACAAAATCTGCTTAGGATGAAAACAATGTAGTGTAATTCCTAAGGAGCTATAGGACTTTACTTTTTCCGGATAGTTATGAGGGCTGATTACTTCTTACTTTTCAAGATAATAAACAGCTGCCTTTGCGATTACTTTTCACCTTCTAATAAGTTACTTAAAACTACCCTTGTCCAGAAGCCTATTCGCTATTCAAGCTAAAATTTTCTAGAAAATGTACAGTAAACTGAGCTAAGGGTTACTTTTTAGCTGAGTTATTATCTGCCTTTAACTACCTAAGAGGGCTTCCTTTGAGGTATACCAATCTTGTCTGTCTGCAAATAATCTATTACGCGTAATTCCAATCAGGTTACTCGTGTCTGCTTTACCGAAGCTAACAGTTCCATTATGGTATGGTGACTCTGCAAAACAAGTGAATGAAGCTCCAAGCAGAATAAAGGCAACTATTTATTCTCCACAGATTGAATAGGATTTTTCATTTCCTGTCTCCAAACAGCTTGATTAGCACTAGCATCTTATTCAGGGAGCTGGGTTCTTGGAGCATTTGAAGCTTACTTTAATTTATCCAAGTTTTCGTTGGTTGTCTATCCATTCACCCGATCACCCCACTATGAACATAAGGAGATGACAATTCGTTCGATGGAGCGCGAAATCAGCCAACTTCTGTCTAATCACAAGGCCGAATTGGGCCAAATGCGTCGAGAGTGTGCTGAACAGATCCGCAGCGCCGATGAACGAGCTTTTTCAGCCTACACTCAGCAGATGGAAGAGCTGCGTGCTCAGCTGCTACATGACAAGGAAGAGGCTTGCACTAGAGAGCGTGAGATGGCCAGTGAAAGGTTTGCTCTTCTTCTCCCTCTTCTATCTGTCGTAAATTTATTTTTCACTTAGCTATTTCATATTCATTTCATCTCACCCACATTTACTAATCTTCCCGCTTTGCTATTCTTCAATATCGCTAACTTTGCATCTTTGAAACTCTCTAGCAAACACAGTTTGTTAGTATTGGTGGCATCGTCCACGGCTAAGTGTTCAGGTTAGGTGAGAAATGTTCAGTTTGAGCCTTTTATTCAATTGGTATTTTAGTCATTTTATGTTACCTCGATTTGCCGAAATCTCATCTA